CAGGAAGGCAGGATATATCCAAAAAATAAGTACGGAGTAAAAGGTAAGATCATCATGGTATAGTAGTTCCACTACTTTCTCGTTTCTAACTTCCAAGGTTCAATTACATATTTTGCGCGCACATCCTGGCCGCGCGATTTCCACCACAAAAAACACTTGATGCTACACCACCATTTCACCTATAACATCGTCGCTAATCAGCAGCGATTACCTGACCACCTTAGAATAAAACAATGCACCGGAAGAACGCTATACTTCAGCAACGTAGTATGTTCAGAGCTGCTATTGCTGTTGCTGATCATTGCTTAGCATTGCCGAAAAGGGTCTGAAGAACGGTGTCACCTAGCCCGGGGACCGGCGACAGGAAATGCCCGGTTGCGGGGAGCTCATGGTAGTTCACCCAGCTGAGCCGGCTGGCGATGTGCCTCTGCAGCACCACGGGCACCAGGCCGTCCTCGTCGCCCTGCCAGATGTGGACAGGGCAAGCCGGCTTCGGCAGGCTCATCGGGTCGAACTCCCACTTGCCGAACATCACCATCATGTCGCGGTAGTACGACTCATGGATGCCTTGCTGTGTTGCCAGTTCCATCTTCTGCAAGATCAAAGAAATCTCGTTAGGTAAGATCTGAAGTGCTGCGGTTCGGTAGTGATGACAATGGTGGAGCCGAGGTTGACCTGCTGGAACGTGCCGTCGGCCTTGAGCTTGGCGCGGATCTCGGCGTCACGCTTGTTGGGGAGCGGGGTGGTGCCGGCCACGACGGTGGAGGTGGGCAGCCAGCTCTGGTCCATCCACCAGTGGAGGATGCCAGGGGCGTAATGTGACACGCGCAGCGCCCACTGGTCGCCCACCTCCTGCTTGTTGTACACCTCCGCGGCGAGATCCGCAGGGAAGCCCGGCCACCAGTAGTTCACCACCGGAGCCATCATTGCAGCTCCAGCAATCCTGCATCACAGAGTGATCGCCGTTTATCAAACACTGACGTTGCCACAAACAAGTTAGCTGCTTGGCCTGCAGCAGAGTTCTTTGGCATGACTGTCACAACGCTGCTTACCTTTCAGGGATGTACTTGAGGGCGCCCCAGACAGCATGACACCCGAGGGAGATGCCGATCACATAGAATTTAGGGCCCAATCCTAGTGCGTCAGCGAGCTCCTCGACGTCGAGTGCGGCGCTTTTCACAGATCGGTTAGGGTTCGGGTCGCTCTCGCCGTAACCCGCACGGTCGAAACCCACCATGTACACGCCGAGCTCTTCAGCCACTTCCTGAAAACCCACATTTAGGTTCACACGTTAGCACCCGAGACAAAATGCGACGTAAATGAGCAGCATATGACGTCTGGAAAGTAAGCATCACAGTGTAGATATGCTCAAAATATCCAATTGGAACTTTCCATACAAAGAATTAGTCAGCACTTGCATAATAACATATTAACATGAGAAAATCTTCATGCTTGCCGGCAACTAATAACAACGCGTGTTGTTTCGTCAGAAAGAAAAGGTCTTCAGAGGAAACGTTCAGCCTATATATGACATGGTCATGGTCAAGGTCAAGTAGAGAACAATGGCATTGGTAGTGTTTGTCAAGCTGAAAAAACAGAGGAACCAACAGATGGGCACCAACTAATCCGAATTCAAATAATGCCATTGAAATAGTAGGATTGAGTTCTCCAGAAAAGTACTGCTCCAGTTGAGTACTGCTCCCTCCGTCCGAAAATACTTGTCATCAAAATGGATAAAACAAGATGTATCTCGAACTAAAATACATCTAGATACATCTCTTTTATCCATTTTGATGACAAGTATTTCCGGACGGAGGGAGTACTAATCAAGTGTGAAATTCCAGCACTGCAATGCAGTTTGTGAAGCCTAAATGCTTGCTTGCTCTGAATCCTCTGACCAGCCAGGTTGCAAAATTTATGCATCCTTGAGTAGCAACAGGACAGAAATTCTCTGAACATCCAAAAAGAGCTAGCACGATCTTCTCCAGCGGACGATCCCCAATTCGGCAATCCAATCCACGGATAGGGAAAAAATCTCCCGGTTTGCGAGCCTACACGTGCTCTGATGTTCGCCATTGTCGCGGCGGCTAAAGGTGGAGTCGCTCTACAGGGCAGCGGAGCGCGGGGCGACGTGTACTGACCGGCGAGGGGCGGACGGTGTCGTGGCGGGAGCCGGTGAAGCCGTGGGAGAAGACGACCATGTAGCGCGCGTCCTCCTTGCGCGCGCCGGACTCGGCGTAGGCGAGGTGGCGGCCGTCGCTGAGCCGGACCCTGGGCGCCGTGACGGGCGGCCCGCCGGGCGCCCCGCAGATCCGCGGCGGCGGCGGCGGCGGCATCACGGCCCCGTAGATCCACCGGCCCAACGCGCCCGCCAGCGGGCCCATGGGCGACCCCGTTCCGCCCCTCCTGGCGCCGCAGCTCAGCACCGGCGCCTTGCACAGCAGCTCCATCGCCGGGCTGGCGCGACGGGTGGGGTGGAGTGGACCTCTCCCTGCTGCCGCCTGCCGGACGTCTCCTAATTGGGCAGGCGGCACTAGGAGGGAGGACTAGGACGTGTTGGCTGGCTCTCCTCGAAACGGTCACATGCGAGATGAGATGAGATCCACCCTCGGTCGCGGTGAAGCGGCCGCCATTAATTCCTGCTCCTCCACGCGTTCCACGGGATTCCACAGGTCACCGTCGTCCGTCCGGGAGAGCAAAGCTGGCATCTTTATTTTCTCTGCTCGCGCTCGCCGGTTGCTCCTCCTCCAACCACACGCCGACACATTTCTGCTCGCACCCAACAGAATAGACCTTGCTACTTCTCCATCTTTGAACAGTCCGGCCAAGGCACAGGAGAAGGTTACGTGAGGCTCTGCTCAGCTCGGAAAGCTCAGGCTCAACAGCTTCCCTCTCTGTCCGTTCATGCAGAAAAAGCGCTCTTATATTATGGGACGGAGGGAGTACGTGCTACTAGAAGATGTACTGTGCTGTGCTGGAACGCAAAGAGGTGTCCTTTTCTTGGAGGTGTTGGTTGAACAAACTAATTTAATTTATCATCGATTCATCACTGTGCTGCAGATGACGAGATGGTTAAGGTGACTGAGCCCTTTCTTTCTTTCTTTTGGCCTCGCTTTCATTCAAATTGAAAAATGACTTTGACATGCCAAGAAACAACGAAAAAAAATCCCCACCAAACACCAACGACTTTTTCCCGGGAGCTGGGCGCATACGTGCCCGCCCGTTGCCATCGGCGACAGCGCAAGCGCACCCGACGAGCCAACAAGAGAATCGATTCGATTCCATCTCCCACCCAACCCAACGTGCCTCCGTGCACACCAGCTCACACACACACACCCGGCCAGATTTGATTCTTCGGCTTTGGGGTGGCGGTTTCATTTCCCGTCAGCTAAGCATTAGCTAGCGTACGCGCTAAATCATACTCCCTCCGTCCGGAAATACTTGTCATTAAAATGAATGAAAATAGATGTATCTATAATTAAAATACATCTAGATACATTCATTTCAATGACAAGTATTTCCGGACGGAGGGAGTACTATCATCGGGGCCAAGTGATCGAGCTGCCAATCATTCCTACAGTTCGGCCACAAATTAGTCTACTTTAATCAGTTGGATCAAACGGAGACTAATGCATCATTATAGTAGTCGGCCGGCCGCCGGAGAGAGATTAAACTAGACATGCGACGCCGGCCGGCTAGCCGGAGCTGGAGTCGAGGCACACAAGGGGGGGTGTATGCATGCGTTGCATGTGTGTCTATATGCATGTATGTACCTGGGTGGCGCGGACGCTGTCCTCGCGGGAGCCGGTGAAGCCGTGGGAGAAGACGACCCTGAACCGGGCCCGCTCCTTGGGAGCGCCGCTCTCGCAGTAGGCGAGGCGCCGGCCGTCGCGCAGGGCGACGCGGGGCGCGGTCACGGGCGGGCCGCCCGGCGAGCCGCAGAGCTTGGGCGCCGGCGGGTCGGCGGCGCGGGACAGCCAGCCGGCCAGCGACCCCAGCATGGCGGCCGCCGGCGCGGGGGACATCATGTCGCCGTCGCCCTTGCGGCTCCTCGCCTCCTCGTCCCACACCTGCGGCATCGACGTCACCCACATCGCTGGAGGCGTTTGTCCTTGTTGTTGCGTGCGCCGGCGGTGGAGATGAAACCGGTTGCGGTGGGATTGCGTGGAGGCGAGGCGAGGTGGCGGCGGTGGTTCTCGGTCGCTGGCTAACTCGGCGCGGGCGTGACGCTACTTATAATGAGCACGGAGGGAGGCGAAGGGGTGGCCTGGCTGACCGGCCGGAGAGTTGGTGGGTGAGTGACCGGGAGGGAGGCAGCGTTCTTCACCTACCGACTGCCGTGGCGTGGACGCATCGCACGAACGCGGATTGGACTCCGGCGTCGATGAAATTCTCGAGCGGAATAGCATGTGGGGAAGACTCCACTAGCTAAGCTAAGCTAGGTAGCCACTCGTGCGGTCGTGGCATTCTACTCGTGCGCTGCGCCCCGGTGGACGGAGTGGTAGTAGTAGTGTTTTTAAACGGCCGTGATGGGATTTTCTTTCCGTAGAACTTTCGAGAGCTTTATTCAACAAAGGAATTCGCCCAACAGCTGAAGGCTGCTCACCAGAAAGACACGGGTAGTCTCGAGCCAGCTCTCAGTCACGTTACGCGTGCATGCACGCTTAGCGCACACACTTTATTGCTCTCGTTACATGTTTGTTGAATTGCAAATGAAGAAAAACTAATAACGGACTCTCTAATTTCAGCACAAATCAGTGCTACAACCGAGCGATCAGTGTAGCTAGTGTTCCAGAGGTTAGCTGCCTCTAGACAGTCGATTTTCAGGGCCACAACGGTGATGCCTCTTAGAGCAACTCCAACACGCCGATCAAAACGAATGGTGATTTTGTCTAATTTTTTTGGATCGGCCGCCCGCTTGGCGTCTGTCCTGTTTTTCTTTTGGGTCGGCCCTGCACCCAAAGCCAGCACACATGCAAGCACACAAAAAGGGACGGGAATTCGACCACGCCATCTCAACCATGGTCATGGCAACATATTTGCCGGCATACACAAAAGGAATAGCTCTCGCCGTCATAGATCACTCGTCGTCAAACTTGAGCATGTCGGTCTGCATCTTCTCGCTGCGCGCGTTCGCCTCGTATCCGCGCCGACGCAAATGAGGCCCAAGATTGGGCCGAGAATGGGTCGGCAGGCAGAAGTGCGTCTGTTTAGGTTTGCGTGTTGGACCGACTTTTCTGCGCGCGGCAACCCAAACGGACACGTCCACACGTTGGAGTTGCTCTTAGCCTACAAAAATGGCGCCCTCCCTGATCGCAAGGACCTTAACCCAACTCCACCGCGTAACCCTATCCTGTCCGGCCCCGTCCATTTGGGGTAAAACGGACAAACGGGGCGGTCCAGCGCGCGACGTCCCGGACCCTTCTAGTCCATTTTGTGTCCGGGCCGACCCATTTGGAGAGCAAAGTTGCTCCGGGTTTGGGGCGCCGCGGACACCGAACGGACGCGTCGCTCGTCCGCGTCTGGTCGCGTGGTGGGGAGGGCACCTACCTCCCACCCGCCAACATAAATGCGCATGGGCGGCCGGCCCCACCTGTCATTGGCCCAGTGGAAGGTGTCCCCGTCCTTCTTAAATGGGCAACCCGTGGATCGGTCGTCGTCCACACTGCCCCACTCCATCCTTCTGGACGCTGCCGGCCTACGTCGACCTCGTCAGCGACGACGACGACACCGGCGGCCACTGAAGACGGCGACGGCGACGACATCGACAGGCAAGGGTAGGGCGTTCGGGCGAGCGGCGTCCATTTTTCTTTTCTTTTTCATATTTAATTATTAATGTCACTCGGACATGAACTGGGCCGTTTTGTGGTCGTGACCCCCTAACTAAGTTTTATGTTTATTAAACTGCATTTATTTACTTTTTTTGTCATTTTATTTATGTTTTCTGTTTTTTTAAATCATTAACTGACTCGGACGTGATTTGGGGTGCGGCCGCGCGGTGGGCGAACGCACGACCCAATGGACAAGGCCGGACACGGACGAACCCATTGACACTCCAAAGGGACAAAATCCGGTCAATCCGAACGTTCATTTGAGATTCGTGCGGTGGAGTTAGCCTTAGCAATTAGTGGACCCGAAACTCCAGTAAGCGGATGGGCTGCGATTCGTTCACCGGTGGACGTATGTACGTGCGCGTGATATGAGAAAAAAGAAAGTAGGGCTGTGGTTGGGTGGGCACTGGCCAGTTGCGGCTCAGCGTGGGACGATCGATCGAATCGAATCAATCTCGCCTTGGGTGCGCGGGGGGCCGGTGCATGCGCACCACGGCGATCCACGGCTGAAAAAGAATGTTACTACCAGGTTCCATGCATGCATGCCGTGCATGAGGGCGGCCGCCTCATGGGAAACAAAATACTCCTTCCCTCTAGGTAGGTAAGTAAAGTCATTTTAGGTTGTGCATCATGACCAAGAAAGAGAAAAAAATAAGAGATCTTAATGTTTATTTGCTAATTAATTGCATTGCATGCAATGAAGTAACCACCGCATGTCGTGTTTGGTAGTCTCAAGTCATTAAAAGCATGCACACCCTCATCTCTTATTGGTTGATACTATGTGAAAAAACAAAAAACGAGGTAGAAGTTAATGCACCGCGCCTAAGTGTTTTGAGATTATTTGGTTTTTGTAAGATGACTTATACACCTAAACGGAGGAAGTACTAATCGAGTTCCTCGTTTCTCGCCGCGCCAAGACTAGAAGGAGCCCTGGAGTAGTATACTTAGGCTGGTCATAGTGGGAGTAACATAGGTAGTAACATAGATGCCACATAAGCAAAAATGGTGATGTGGCAAGTAGTTAATGAGGAGAGAGGCAAACAGAGTAACATAATATGTTACCATCACATAGCGGTTTCCAATGCATAATGAGTCTACAAAGTAATAAATGAAGGCAACTATGTTACCACAACTATGACACTACCCACTATGAAGGTAGTAACATAGAGGGTGCTTGAATACAAGGGACTATTTTTAGTCTGACTAAAAATAGACTCTTAGGCTAAAGTTCCAAGCACCCCTGACTAAAGAGAGGCTAGGACTAGTCTTGAGGCTAAAATCTTTTAGTCATGGGAAACCTACTAAAATATGTATTAGCTCTCTCTCTCCTCATTTAATTCCTCTCCTTAGTTCTGGATTGGAGGGTTTGGAGGATAATAAATGCTCAATAACTAGATTTTAGTCTCTTTAGTATTTGGATCCAAGCATAGGTGAGACTAGCAAGTTTTAGTCCCACTACTTTTAATCATGGGACTAAAACGTATCCAAGCATGCTCTCCACTATGACCAGCCTTATTCGCCGGTGCGCCGGTGACCATGCATGCGCGCGCATTGCCCGGCGGATGGTGGCCACGGCGACCGTTGTGCGCCAAAAGCAAAACAACACTCACTCGCTCGCTCACTTCGTCGGCGGCTTTTCGTGGTGCGGGAACCGTGGAAAGACGATCGCACGAGCGCGCGTGATGAGCGGCGCCTTTCCATGTTGCCGGCTGACTGGCTGGCTGGTGAGCGAAGGCTGACGTACGCCGGACCGGCCGGCCGGCCGGGTGGCCAGTGCATGCAGTGTGTGGTGGACAGTGCGTACCATGTAGGCGTCCAACACAACAATTCGTCGTGGAAAACTGTCCGTCTGCGTATGAGCATGATCCCACCATCAGACTGTTCTGTTCAACCGGGACCGGCCGGCCGCCACCACCGATTGATAGTGAGCAGCCGGAGGCAGGACCACGCCTCACGTTATCCACGTGTAGGGTCCGGCGCGCCACCTGCATTATTGAGCGCCAAAGCTGCCGGATGTTATATCCTCCTCCCTGCTCTCTCTCGTCTCATCTCCACACACACACACACACACACACACACACACACACACACACACACACACACACGGGTTCAAGCCTGTTGTGACGTGGAATTAATTCCACCTTGAATTTACTTGGTGCCTGGCTATTCTTCTTGCAACAATGCACCGGGTGGTAGAGCTTGGTTGCTTGGTTGAGAGTTTGAGGAAGTAGGAGTCGACCAGTTGGTTAGGGCATTTCTAGCCGAACCCCTATAACCGGTTATGGAGGAGTAAAAATTCGATTTTACTCCTCTAACTGGAACCTAGCCGATCCCCAATCCGCCGTAAGGAAGAATCTCCCTATATTTACTCCGCCGCTCGGCGCCCGAGTAAAAGCCGCGCCTCTCCTTCACTACCTCCCTCTCCACTCCTGTGCCGTCCCTCCCACCCCCCGCCGGCACCCGCGCGCCGCCACGGACGTTGCGTAGGCTCCGCTGTTGTCCCCGACCACTTGGATTTATGCCTCCTCGTCCCGTCGTCGGCACAGAACTGGTGGATCTGTGGTTGCAGCCGCCGCAACTGGATTTGGCGTTTCTGATTGCCGGCCGCTGCGCCTTGCCATGGATTGGCCGGCAACCAGACCGCACAGCCCCAGCAACACCTCCGTGCCGCATGCAGGTATCGGCTCGGCCTCTAGCCACTCGAATCGGCCCCGTCAGCGGTTTGCCGGAGAAGACACGCCCGACCGTCACCCGGGCTCGGCGCTAGCTCGGCAGCTCATCGGCTCGCCGTTACCGGTCATATAGTGCGATGACTACCCGCGTCGGGTGGTGCACCAAGTTTCTACCATGCCACAACATCCCAGATAGGTGTTCTTCAAATGCAAAAGTAATGGGGTATGTGCTTCTTTTGATTCGGTTGTTCACCGAATTCGGTTAGAAATGTGCTTCAAACGAAAAAACAATTTCGGCAGATCATTGTTTCCTCCAAAGCAAACCATAGGCATAGACGGACCGAAAGAGTGGACATAAACTCCCGCGTAAAATCAGATGGTTAGACAAAGTCCAAGACGCCGGCCGACCGATGATTGGTGCCATCTTAAACATGCACCCTAGAATCAAGGAGCTGTTGCTGCTGGCCTTCCGTGGACAGGGCAACGGTCAAGAATGTCACGCCCTTCTGTGCCTGCCTCGCAAGCTGCTCTGTTGACGTGACAGAGATACTCACAAACGGTGTGGAAACGTATTTGGTCAATCCTCTGAGA